TCCGTTGGCCGTCATATGCGAGGTTGCTCCGGTGTCCATGTACCATTGATCATCAGGAGTAGAAAGTGAGAGAGTATGCATGGCAGCTTGAATATCTGTTGGAGCATATGAGGAGGTTGGCGCTGTGTTGGCGACATAAGCTTGATTTGGAGCATATGAGGAGGTTGGCGCTGTGTTGGCGACATAAGCTTGATGAGATGGCTTGGGACCAAGGATGCCGGGTTGTTCCTTTGGATTTCTTGCTGTTGGATACAGACAAGGTGGTGTAGCCCATGGTTGCCATGGCGGGGAGCTCCATTGTTGATATTGATTTGGGTATGGCGGATAAGCCCACTGCTGATGCGGGTAATATGGTGAAGGCCATTGCTGTTGCGGAGCACGACCTCCGCCACGTCCATTGTTTCGCCCTCGGCCTCGTCCACGCTGTCCTTTGCCATTGTTTCGGCCACCACGGTTGTGGTTACTGTTGTTACCGCGGTTAGGACGGGATGCCGATGAATTAACTGATGCGTCATTGTGAGACGCCATGAAAGATGAATTTTCGACTGAGCTTGACACCTTTTTCTGCAGTGCTGTTTCTTCCAAAATGATCATGGAACGAGCTTTATAGAACTGAGGAAGTGAATCAGCATGACGAATTTGAGATCCCACAGTAGCATATGCATCGGTTAGTCCCGAAATGAGTTGAAGAACTAAACGTTCATTCGATACAGGGGCACCAACATTAGCGAGTTGATCAGAGAGAGATTTGAGATGCTGATAGTAGGAGGAAGCATCAGAGAATTGCTCCATATGAGTTTGCGAAAATTCTTGCTCTAGGTAGAGAGCCCTAGAATTCTTGTTATCATAAAAGATGTCGAATAAGCGATTCCACGCGATTTCAGCGGTGGAATTATGTTCGATGATAGTGTTGAAAAGATCATCGGAGATTGTTCCATATATCCACTGCAAAACGACGGCGTCGAGACGAAGCCATAACTGTGGATCGGTAGTTTTGAGAGAGGGATCTGCGGCTGGTTCAGAGGGATTGATATGGTCAATTACTTGAAAAACTCGAGCATGAATTTTGAAAAGTTCTGACCACGTGTTATACGTGCCCTTTTCAATGCTCAGAGTAATCTTGATGAAATTAGTAATATTTGGGACAGTGAGAGCAGGGAGAATCGGTGTAGGAGTGGTAGGTGGTGGAGGAGGGTCGGTATGACCGGATGATTTCGGGGAAGAGTTGTTGTTAGAGGAATCAGAAGTGGTAGTCATGGCTGTTTCACGGTAGTTGAAGAGAAAAAGAATGAGGGATAGAAAGGAATAAGGTTTACGGCTGATTTTAGGGTTTGGAACAAACCAAGACTGATACCATGTAAGATAATTTAGGCCGTGCCTTTTCATTTATGTGATAGTCATTTATATACACAGTACAAATATGTGGTTATGATTCTAATAATCATTGGTAATCAATACTAATAATAATCTTTCTATATTTACATATCTAATAATCAATAAAATTTATTATTAATTCCTCTCTTTCATGATCCAACTTCTTCAACAAATTTTTACGAAAAAAATATTTTGTAATTCTTCAAAATATGTACCTACAAAAAAAAAATCAAGAATTAGCAAACATTAATAGAATTAATTTTATAAAAAATATATTTTATAATGCATCAAAAATTGTACTAAAAAAAACTCAAAAATTAACAAAAATTAATAAAATTAGAATAAATTCAAAATCAATACTTACAAACAAATAATCAAAAATGAACAAACTTCAATAAAATTAAAATAATATAAAATAAAAAAATATAAAATAAAAAAATATAAAATAAAATAATATACAATATTATAACATTGAATAATTCAAATAAATTAAAAATTAATGTTAGTCATTCATCTTCTAACCCTCTATCTTTCAAAATTCAACTTCTTCAACATATATTTTGAAAATTTTGAAAATTAGTACTTGCAAAAAAAAAAAGAATTTAAATGTGACAAATTAATAAAATTTAAAGAATTTCAAAATGAGAGAAAACAACTTGAAATGAACGGAATTTAAAAATATATTAAATGCAAAAAATTTATTGACAATTGAATAATATAATGAACTTTATCTTAATTTTATGTGTAATTTCTCTATTTTCGTGACAGGGTAATTCCTGAAAAACAAAATGCCAACAATTTGTTGACAATTGAATAATATAGTCAACTATCTTAATTCTATAAGAAAATGTGTAAATAAGAAAGAAAAAAATGAAATAGAAAAAATAAATGAAATGATTTGGTTCACTTGATTTAATATATATTATTAAAGAGAATTTAATAAGTTGCAATAAGTATTTATTATTAGAAGAAATGAGTTTAATTTTTTTTTTTAAATTATAGAGTTAACGTGAAGAATAGAATGAGGGAAGAAGTTGGTTACTTGAAATGCTTTTTGCTAATTAGAATTTATAGGAACCATTAAGAAGAAATATAAATTGTTTGTTTTTTGTTAAAATTTATTATATTTTATAATAATTCAAAATTTGTTTTAAAAAAAAATTAAGAATAAGTATGGTAAACATCAACAACATCATTGAAGATACATAATAACAACATTATTGAGGTTGCTAATGGAATATGCGGCTAATATGCCAAAGTTAGTAAGTATTCCCTTCGTCCTAATTTATAAACAAAAAAATGTTCATTTTTCTTATTATAAATTATAAAAAAAAAACATCAATTTTATGTTATTTGACTATTTTATTTTAAAAAGTTTATCTTTTTTAAAGTAAAATTAAATATAAATTATATTTAATTTGGTTTCTCTCTCATTTTTTCAATAAACAACAATTAATCAAAATTGTTTTTATATTTTCCTATAAAATATATTTTAAAAAAGACACAAAAATTAAGTTTTCTTAATAAATGTAAAATATTAAATTTTTGTTTATAAATTTACTTAAATGTTACATTTTATATTATTTTGAGAAGCAAAACCATAATGGTTATCTGTAGTCATTTTGCAATAAAATAAATCTTTAAAATAAAGAAACGGAAGAGAAAGAGAGCTTTTGGAAAGCATAGAAATAAAATGAGAAAGGTTAGAAGATTAGAAGAATATAAATGTAAAATTGGAATTGTGAAAGTTAATGAGAAGGAGGTTGAATTAGTAGATGAAATAGTTAAATGATTGTATAAATAGATGAAATGGAAATTTGGTTAGTGGGAAGTTATATTTGAGAGAAAAAAAATGCATAATGGAATTAGTGGAGTTATATAACACCTTAACTTTTTGTTTGAAATATTTTCATTTTTTAAAAATTATTTTGTATTAATTGTTTTTCAAGGTTTGCAATATCTGTGTTATTTATTTATTTTTAAATTTATTTAATTTAAAATTATTGTATTATGTGTGTTATTAACGTGGGTTAGAGAAATGATACTAATAGAGATTGTGTAGAGCGGTAAAAGAGAGGAGAGAGAAGATTGAGAGATAAATATGTTAAATATTTTAATTTATTATTAAAATAATAATTATTAATTAATAGAATGAAGGGAAAATGAATTTATATAAATGATACGTGGTTAATTTTTTAAAATTTTAGAAAAAAGTTTTGAATAATAGATTAATAATTGTTATAATTATTATTAATTGTAACACTAAATTTTCGATGTAATATTATATTTAATTAGTATATTATTTTTTTAATAAACAATTTGTATCTGGTAGATTTTAAATGAGACTTTGAGAAAATATAATTTCAAGATTCAAGCGTTTAACTATTAACACATATATTTTAACTAATTAATATATTATTAATAGAAATAAATTTTTGAAGTAAAGGTATTATTTTTTAATTAATTAATAATAATTTAAAGTATGATGATTTGAGTTACCGAGAAATTTTAAGTAATAATGTCGACAGTTGTTATATTTATTATTAATAAATAATTATTAATGAATTAATTAATAGAAAAATGTGTTATACTTATTATTAATAATTAATTATTAATGAATTAACTAATTAATAGATAGAAAAATAGTAAGAAAATTTTAGAGGAAAATTTTAACATAAGAAGTTGTAAGATTATAATTTAGTATCATTATATGATTTAGTAACAAAGCATTTGTCATTGTACATTATAAAAACTTGTAAGTTAATTTTGTTAGATAAAAAGACTTGAAAATAATGAGGAAAAAAGAAGCTATAGTCAGTGTAATAGAAATATATAATTTTTATGATAATGTTATTAGAAAATCAAAAGTTTAATTAAATATTTAATAATATACATTTATCTCTGGAATATTTTATTCATAAATTAAAATTAATTTATTTTAAATATTTTCATATTTAAAATGAAGATACTAAAAAAATGCTATTTTTTATTTTAGAAAAAAATTAATCCAATTTACTAATTGTATGTTCCAATCACTCACCGAAAAACAAGGTGACAAAATTGAAGAAAAAATTATTAGTACATTTTAATTGAATTTTTGGTGGTATGTTGTTTTTTTTAGAGAAAAAATATGATATATTTACGGTGTAAATTAATTTTACACTGCTAATTAATTATAATCTTATATAAAAATAAATTATATTTTAATATTAAAATTTTTTAATGACAAGATATATTATTAATTTTCTATTGGTTGATAATTATATAAATTAATTCTTTTTTTTATAGGTGACTTAATAATATATTTGTCAAATAGTAATAAAAAGTCATATTTATATTATTCATAGTCAAACATCACAGCGATCTCACGTGGCAAATTCTGGTTCGATTCAAAGACGTGTCAAACGCACATTTCAAAGACGAAAACACCCTCAATTAAACACTCTTCAATAACAAAAACTGCAAGGGACAAAACCGTCAAAAAAGAAATAACTTCCATAATGCGCAACCGTTAGGAGGGAAAGCTGAAATTGTTCTCGCCATTCCTTCTTCAAAATCAACAACAATGAAATCTTCATCTTCATAGAAGAAAATTTCAAAAAAAAATTGTATTTTTTTTATCAACAATGATCCAATGGACGAAACAGTTGAATACCGCATTCGGAGTTTCGTTTCTTTGGCTAATTTGCTTGATTTACTTCACCCAGGTTTCACTTCTTCATATTTCGTTAAGTTTTATCATAAATATGAAATCTTTGCCTAAAATATTTATGGGTTTTTTATTTTATTGGAGATCTGGTTGCGGTGTGAATTGATTTTGTAAAATTGATTCTGGTTAAAAGTGAGTTGAAGGTAAAGAGATTTATGTTTGGATAAATTTCTCAATTGGTGCAGGGTTTTAGGTCTTTTGTGTGGACAGCTATTTCGTATCAGCTTAAAGATAATCTTCATTTGACACCTTCAGCTTCGCAATTTGTGTTTTCTGTTGCATTTTTTCCATGGAGTATTAAGCCATTATATGGGTATGGATCATTGATTTTTTTTCTCCCAATTGAGTATCATGTATTGGATTATATTTAATTGATATGTATTGTTAATAGGTGTATGAATTGTTTGTGTGAAATTTTTGTTATACAGAAATGAAACTCTTTTGTATTAACACTTGGATACTTAATATAGATGCATACAAACACAAACATAGCTATATCTAATGTAGATTTAGAAATGAAGTCATCATGGATAATTTTGTTATGAACTTATGATGATTTTCTGTGCTTATGTTTTCTAGTTTAGTAAGTGTCCTAGAGATGAGGATGTTGCGTTGCATTTGTGGTAAGACTAGATAGGATAAGATTATAAAAGACAATATTAGAGAGAGTGTTGGGGTAACACTTATAATAGAAAAGATGGTGGAAAATAAACTTAGGCGACTGAGGTGGTTTGGGTATGTAGAGAGAAGACTAGTAGATTTTGTGGTAAGGAGAGTATGTTAGATTAAGAGAAGTCAAACAAATAGAGGTATATGAAGACCTAGAAAAACTATAAGAGGAGTTATTAAGAAAGATCTTGAGATTAACAATTTGGATAGTAAGATGGTCCCGGATAGAACATTATGGCGAAAATTGATTCATGTAGCCGATCCCACTTAGTGGGATAAGGCCTGGTTGTTGTTGTTGTATGTTTTCTATTTTAGTAAACCAGAATGGTGATGATTCTATGTATATTGTTAGCTTTCTTTTCACCTGCCAAAAACATATGCCATAGAAATTGACGAGAGTTTTTCTATTCTGAATAACTAGAAAGGACAAGGAAAATTCCGAGTTTATATTAAATTAAACATGATATTAGACCAGCAGCTATTCTTCATCCTCTGTAAGAATTATTTTCATTGTCATTGGGATAAGAAGCTATGGTTTTTTAAATTACATGCATACTCTTATCATTTTATATTAAAAAAAGAACATAAAATGCTAAAGAGAAGGCACGACCTTAGGTTAACTCTGAATGACAAACGGCTTTTTAATTTAACATGAAAATTAGGTGCACACACAGAAATATTATTAATGCTTTTTTATTTTTCTCAAACTGACTAACATGTGTTGACAATATCAAGTTGCAGTTTAGTTTGTGTTGCTCTTGCATTTATGTGTATATGTTTGTTTACTAAATCAATCTCACACTGCTTCCTTGTAATCTGGTTTTTTAATGATGAACAGGATACTTTCTGATTGTATCCCAATTAAAGGAAGTAAACGGATTTCGTACTTGGTGATTGCGACTGTGCTCTCCCTTGTACCATGGTTTATTCTAGGTTTAAGTTCAACTTTGAGGAATTCGACATGGCATCTGATGGTATTCTTGACTGTGCAAAACTTAGGATCAGCCATGGCGGATGTTGTTGTTGATGCAATGGTAGCTGAAGCTGTAAGACATGACAAGTATGTTTGCATCTTCAATTCCTTGTTTCATTTTCTGAGATGAACTGTTGCGTATCGAATAGCATGCATGCATGCATTTAGATATTGTAAATAATGCAAAACGTTGGATCATATGTTAGAATCTTCTATGATTGACATTTTCCTTTGCATTGTACCCGATTTCTCAATCTTGTATCTGTGTGTAAACATATAATGTGAATGATGCATTCACTTCATGCAATCTTAGCAGAATGGCCTTTTTATTCAGTGATCAATTACATGCTTTTGTTGGTCAGGGCCTCATTTGCAGGAGACCTCCAGTCATTATCTTGGTCTTCAATGGCCGTGGGAGGAATATGTGGAAGTTTATTTGGGGGATTCGCGTTATCAAGTTTACCGATAGATGCTATTTTTCTTCTATTTTCCATACTACCTTGCATACAGTTATTATCATGCTGTTTCGTGAAGGAGAATTCTGTAAATATCGAAGATTTAGTTGAGGATTCTACTGCAAAGGATATGCAAACAAATGGTAGTAGTAATAGTAGGGCCCTGGATGAAGATAGTCCTTTAACTAAAAAGTCCAACAGCAGTACAAGAAAAAGAAAGAAGGGAAAAAAGAACACAAAAATTAAAGCAGTAAATACCAGAAAATCAAAGGTTCTTCATAAAGGAGACTCATTGGCGACAAAGTCGTTCCATTCCTTGAAACAAGCAATTTATGATTTGTGTCGTGCATTTCGACAACCAATGATTTTGAGGTAGATATTTGAAAATTTTTGTCTGTTTACTTTACTTTTAAGATTATCGATGATTCCTGGTCAAAAGCATATTTTCTATTCGAGAGTTTCATTCATCTATCATTATAGTTAGCTTATACTAGTAAATTCTATCTTCAAAATCACTATCTACAAAGCTTCAAATAATAAAAAGTAAATTTACTTACTATATCATATAAGAAGTTTTAAGCTTTCTTTTCCTACTCCTTATAACTTACAAGTATGCGTGTTTTTTCTTTTTAGGTATTTATGGTCTCACAGGGTAATGCTAATTCACTTTCTACATAATAATCAATTAATAATTTTTGTTTTATGTTGTGGAGTGCAGACCTATGTCTTGGTTTTTCCTTGCCCACATTACCATTCCCAATCTTTCAACAGTCTTATTCTACTACGAAACTGAGGTTCTAAAGCTCGAAGCATCTTTCTTAGGGACAGCACGTGTTGTTGGGTGGTTAGGACTTATGCTTGGAACATTCACTTATAACCGTCACCTAAAGCATATGACCCTACGGAGAATTCTCATGTAAGCAACTAAGGATTGTTTTTTTCATTGATTGATTTTTGACTTATGTCTACTGATATGTTTTCATTCTGATTACAGGTACGCTCATGTTGCGTTGGCCTTCTTGAATCTTCTGCAGATTGCTGTTGTGTCTAGAAAAAATATTGACTTTGGAGTTTCAGACAGGGTTATGGTGCTCTTTGGCTCAGCTCTTGTTGATGCAATCAATCAATTCAAGTTTGTCTTTGCTTCTCAATTCAGTTTTTTTTCCACATATTTTATATATTAAGAATGTGCATTGGTAGGGTAGGTGAAAGATAACAAAACAGACTCAACCAAAACGAGGATCAGAAGGATTTAAACTAACAATTTTTTGTCGGAATTAGAACCGGTAAAGTGTATATTAAAATGGTTAATATGTTATACTGGGATAATTTTACTGGATTCTAAGAAGGAAGGCCCATGAGTATACGATACAAGCCCATTGCCTCAACACTGATCGGACACCCGACGCGTGGTGATAGGCCGCCCGATTTGGGGCATGAGGCCACCCGAACAGATTCCCACTACCCATTTGCTCTATAAACGTGGGTGATGATGTGTCCAACCGGTGATTGATTTGAGTGAGAGAGTCAATAGGGAAACTATCTCCCCCATAATTCAAGGGAGAACGAGTCCCCTCCGCTCCACGTCTCTAATAAGGGAGTTAGGGTGACCGCTCTCTAGCCCAGGCCCAACAAGCCTTCTACATATACCTCATTCCCAAGAATAAGAGAGGGGATCCAATCTCATGCAAAAACCATAAACAGAGCTTCTCACTATCCTACATGGGCGAGCTCTTATCACACTCTAAATCTCTAAAACCCTCAAACAACCCTCTACATAACTAGGAGTTGTTCATCACTGTACTTTTTAGCAAATACAACTACCCTTGGTTCATCTTTACAAAGCACTTAACAATAGGTATTAGAAGATTAGAAGGATAGTACATAGGGTATATCAGCTAGTATAATGATTGTGCCTATTTTCCATTGTTTCCAAGTCATTTTCTGATTTTTGTCTCTTGAAAAAAACTGCAGGTTTATGCCATTCCTGATCTTATCTGGACGACTATGCCCTCCAGGAATTGAAGGGACATTATTTGCTCTTTTCATGTCAATAAACAACTTGGGAACAACAATAGGGTCTTTTGTAGGTGCTGGCTTGGCTTCTATATTAAACATAGATTCAGGATCTTTTGACAATCTTCTATTAGGCATTGTTATTCATGCTTTGTGCAATTTCATTCCAATTGCCTTTTTGTTTCTTATACCAAAGGAAGCAACAGGTTCATCAGGATAGATAGTTAGTTAGTTATTGGTGAATACCATTGGAATTGGTTATGTATACTTCAGTTAGTTTTTCCTAGATATTTCTATAGTTGATATTTTCCATTTGTAAATTGGAAAATATAGGAGAAAATGAGATGCATTTTAATTGGTTTATACATTTTTTCTTTGAGAATGACACTGATTATACAGATTAAATATACACTTTTGCATCATTTCTGATCAGAAGTTCTAGTCTACCAGAATTAAATATGTTGTTGAGACCTCTTGATTAGTTTAAGAGGTTTGCTTTTAAGTTGATTAGTTTAAGGGGCTTGATTCCATGGCATACCAGAGCTACATCGATTCTTCAACTAATTTCATAAGTCCGGTCTACTTGCATCCAGTGAGAGCCCTGTATTAGTTCTTGTTTCTCTACCTTTAGACAACAAGAAGTATCATATTTATCATTTATCAATGGAACCATAATTAAACCTCTGATTCATTACGATCCATTATCTGCCATTTGGTTTTGCTGTAGCACAAGGGTTCTTGCTTGGATTCAATTGCCTAATGAGTGTTTTTGGTTGATAATGCAACTGGCATTTAGAAGAATTCGATTCTTTGACGATTCATCAAAATATAAGTTTTATCTCCAACCTTCCATCATCAACATAAATAATATCATATATATTTATAGATATTTTATGAACAAACTTTAAAAAATGGAGGATATTCATCCCATCTCATTCACACCTCTGAAAAATCAGAAAATGTTTGTCTTTATTGTGTCTAGAGATGCATCTTCGGACGCATCTAAAATCACACTAGTTCTCGTATTTTAGTCAGCCACCCTTTTTTAAAATCTATTTCGGAGATACATTTTTATATTTTATTTGGGGGTGTATCCGGAGATGCAATTCTATAACACTCCATGTACTTACTGAGTTGATTTATTTAACAAAACACCACATTGCATGTTCTTCTTTTTCATATTGACATTCAATTTCACTCTCAAAACTCTTAAAAAAATTCATTTCATTCTCAATCAACTTTTCAACACCTTATATTTTATCACATTAAAGAGAGCAAAAGAAGCTCAAATTTAAGGTAAAGTTCATTCATTTCATCTATCATTCTTTGCATTAATCTGATTTTTGAGCTGTATTAAAAGAATGTTGAGTTCGGATAAACATTTCCGGACAAAGTTGCATGTGTTCCGTAGATCCATCTTCGAATTTGTCTAATACTTTGAGTTTTAAGTCTATTTTTCTAATATGATTGGTATTAGATATGGTGTACCCGAATATATTTTTTAAAGTTATTGTGACGATGGATTTTAAACCTGATGACATGAAGGATGATGTTAAAATAAATAAAGTGAAAAATAATGTTAACCTAAATGATGTTAAACCGAGTGTTGGACAAGTTATTGTTGAGGTGGATGTTCGTGAATAATTTACAAATAAACAAGAGTTTATTGTTCGTGAACATATGCTACAATGAATTTGCATGGAGGCCGGGAAATTGGATTTGGCATAATCGAAAAATCTGACAATGATTCTGATAGAAGACAAGCATTTGTAACAATGAGATGCGAAAGAAGTGGCACGTACCAACCATTGATTAGGAAGTTGAAACGTGATGACACCGAATAAAAAAAATCTGGAAGTCAGTATAAATTGAGCGGACACCGTAAGGATAATGGTACATGGAAATTTAATGCGGTTTTTGGTATACATAATTATGCCTTGAATGATAAGCTAGTCGATCATCCAATTGTATGTCGCCTTATTCTGGAGGAGAAGGAACTTCTTTCGGACACGATATTAAACATGGTGGCGCCGTAAAACATACTTTCAATTTTGAAATGGAAAAGATGTAACGCCCGTTAATTTAATTAATTATTTAATTAAATTATTTTTGGATTATTTGTTGAAGTTGTGAGATGTTGAGAATTATTGGTATAAGTTGTTAGATTATTATTAATTAATTAATTGATTAATAATAATAATAATGTTGAAATTAATAGAACAATTGTGTTGGGCTCATGTTATTGGTTGGAAGTAGTAAATTGGGGGTGTGTTAGTTAGGCCCAATTGGATTAATGATATAAGATTAAGCTGACACAAGGGTTTGGTTTTTGGAGAACAAGAAGTCTTGTGCGCTGACCGTGTGAAGTCGTGCAAAGAGAGGAGCAAGTTGCCTGGTGTCGAGCAGAACAAAGCAAAGCTGTCGGCTGGAAGTTTGATGGAGCGACCTTCAATCTAGGTAAGGATGGGTTTCTGACCTTATAATAGGATTTATGATGTGTATTATGTGGGAATTGGTCGTTGTATGACTGTTGCACGTTGATGTTCTGGATTTGTTATTAAAGTTGCCTGTTTCCTCATGTTGTGGTCATTTAAGGAGTTATCGTATGACTGTTTAATGAACCTGTTATAGGAAGTTGCATGGTTGTTATGTTGTGGGCGTTTTGAGTTGTCTGTATAATTGCTGGTATAATCGATGATTAGGTTATAGTAGATTTTACCTGTTGATGTGGTCGTTAGGACGTTGTGATATTCTGAGCAGTTGGCAGGAAAATTAGTAAATTGTTGTTGTGATCGTTATATGAAGGGTTCAGTGTGATTGTCTTGTACAATTAGTGAATCTGTTGAAAGTAGATATAGTTACCTGTTGCTGTGTTATTCCGAGCAGTTTCCGAAAATCATGGATTATGTTGTGATGGTCGTTATGATGTTGTATTATTCTATGTTGTTGGCCGGAATTAGTGGCCGAGGAGGATGCTGATGGTGTTAGGTGCCGAGCGGCATGTAGGCCGCAAGGTGTGTCGGAGAATATATGTGTTGGATGTCGAACGGTATTGGGTTGCAATGCGTGTTGAGGAGTGTTGTACCCCAAAATTTGCCCTCCTAGTTTCTTATACTTGGCTTAGGCTTAGCATTGAATTCATATCTTTTCATTGGGTCATTAACATACATTTGCATTCAATAAAGCGCTTGAGGTTCGAAGTTCAGTGGTTGCGCGATATTAGGGTTTCACAGCGGTTAAGGTGTTCATATCCAATAAAGCCTGATTCTTCTGATTATCCTTCAAGCAGTAAAATGTGGAATTAGGATTGCAACCTATGCTTATTGAAGGTTCTGTTCTCTTCAAGATTAAGGGGTTATTACTCATTCAGATGCATTTAAGACAAGAGTCGGTGTTTTTCTCCACCAAATTTGTGCTTGTCAACGTTTCATCAACTGAGGTTCATTAGGTTTTTTAAGTTATGGCCATCTTGGTCATATCTCTTTCTGTATTCCCATGTTCATTTCCAAGTTATTCTACGAGGTCATCTAAGGGCTACTAAATCAGACATTCATTATCTCATTGTGTTCAACATCATCCTTTGATTAGAGTTTATTTCTCTAAATCATGTATCATTCAGGAGAGGTTTCTCTGTGAAGTTGTGATTATCAGGCAAGGCTATCATCAAGAGATATCGTCCACAAATAACCAGGGTTTCAATTGATATATCTTTGGAAAATAAGAAGGAAATCATTGCTTGAATCTCTAGTCACGTGGGAAACAACTCTATTCTATAAAAGAAGATTCAGTTGGACCTTCTTCACGAATTAGGGTTTGTATGCCTTATAATGCAAAGCTCTTCATCTGGTCGATTGGCTTACTTACGATATAATCTATTTTCTTCGAATTTCATTTCAATGCTTTGAAGATCAAAATCTAAAAGCTTTGTGTGAAAGTTTAGGATTTATATCCCATCATACCTGGGTTTATCAACATCTTCCATGGAGGTTCAGGAGATGATAAGGCATGAGACATGGCATCTTGCGAGATCATTGGTTACCAAGACAAAGGTTTGGATCGCAAAACACTAAATCTTGATTCGAAGAATAAGCTTGTGGGTTCATTATTATACTTGTTACTTGCAATGTAAGAGGATGCAAATTGAGCGGTTCTGTTAATCAAAGATTGGTTTAGAATTGTCCATCCAAGTTTTATTTGTGTTCAAGATAAAATTTGAAGGAGATGCATATGAAATACAAATTGCAAGTTGCAAGAACACTATGGTTCCTTTAAGTTACATTTGAAGACGTCTAAAACACGGAAATTCATTCAACATGGTTGAAGTAAAGGAGATTGGAACTTTGAATTCAATTTGAAGAAAAATTACTTTAAATATTTGAAGGGATCGTCATAGAATTGTAAATGTATCACAAATTCATGTGTCAATGCCATTACATCAAATTACGAAATCTACACAAAATCCAAATCTCTCATTACATCGAAAGACACCATATTCAAAACTATTACCATTATAACACATCCATACTGTTACAAATGTTACAAAAGATTTCAAGTTCTATTTGAGCCAAAGATCCTAGAATACTTAATCTTCACTCAACTTTGTCTTCCATTTTTTTGTCTTTGCACCACCATTAACTTCATGATATGCCAAGCTAAAACCAATCTCTCTTCATTCCATGACCAAGCCTTTCCCGCTTTTCACACCATGAGTCAAGTCTTCATTTAATTTTAACTATGCTTCTTTTCTAAGTCAATTCTTTAAGCCCTTTTATCATTCTTCAACTGGTCACAACTGTTCATAACCTACATCAGTTCAACAAATCCAAAACTGTTCATGCACTTAATCAAAGCGAGTCCAAACGGAAACAAAATTGTTACATAGGCCATTTTAGAATTAACTCCTATAACTACCTATAACAGAAAAAACAGAATTTTCATAATCTCTTGATTGTTTCTAACAGAGTTCAAGAACCCTCTAATCCTAACAATCCATCAAATAATCACAAAAACCAGAAAAACAATGGCCCTGCATCGGTTAAAATACCAGTTCAGCCCTGTATTAAATTAATAAAACCATGCTAGAAAAACCACTTGTTCAAGAAGATAGCCCTGCAAACTGTCATAACAGAAAAACCGAAACATAATTTTAACAAAATCCAAGCCTCTTCATAACTAACTCCCTAACTAACTCTAACAAATTCCTAGTTAACTTATAACAAC